GACATGACATACGGTCCATCGTAATTTTAATTTTCATAATTCATTAAATTATCATTCTTGCTTACCCCAGCAGTAGTAGGGTTGAACGCCCGTCACTGGTTTTTAAATATTTATTGTGTACCTTCCTGTGCTCAAAATAATCTCACTTAGCATATACAATCCTCCAACAAAGCGAGTTATAGATTATAACTTGTTCTAAGCAAATCTAGTGGTAACGTGAAATAAGTCAGCAACCGCTCTTTTGAATCCATTGCGGAGATTGTAACATGTATTTTCTGGTCGAATCTTGCGAGAAGGGAGTTTCCCAAAGTAATTAATTCCTGCGGATTAGATATTACAATAAATGTACCTACACGAACTACACCTAATTCAAAGAAGGCAATCGATCAAACAATAATTATCAAAACCACTAGTAGATATGAAATTGCAATAAAAGATTTATGATACAGTGACCACGATACACAAATTCTTACCATTACAAGAAATGCGTGTACTGACGAAAGAAATAATACACGCATGAATAGACTGTTAAGTAACATTAAAATGTTCTTCATAGACTGCAACAATATGCTGCAAGAAGCGTGAGTCGCGTTTCACAATAATGTTGATACATATATATATATATATATATATATATATATATATATATATATATATATAAATTTATTTTGTTCGAAGCTTTCATTTCATAATAACACGTGCTTTCTTCTTTAAAAAAATTAAACATTTAACGGAAAAGCAATGCTTCGATAACACTCGAGATCAGAACTTCATGTAGAAACAAGCGAAATTTCTTTTTAAGCATTATAATATATCTCATGATTTCCATGCCTATTCGAAATAAATACAAATCATTGTTAAGAAAAGTCATAAGGCAGGCGAAAATCATGAAAGACGATCAGTATATTTGAAGTCAAGAAAATAAAGCAATGTGGAATGCAGTAAAAAATACGAACACATCGACTAGAAAGCTCGTAGAGAACGTTTTTTAAAGATAATGTGATATTGATACAAGATTGAATATGATACAAATGATATTAAAGATAACGGAAACAGCAACATTTTCTTAAAAAAGTTACTTCATTCATGGATGAAAATGCACCTATCGAAATATTTTTCGATATCACAAAAAGCATATGATGTCATTTATCATTAAATTTTACTTTTAAAATTACCTTCGTATTCAATTCATGATGTTTCTCTTGATTGGTTATGTTCGTACCTTAAACAAAGATAGCAGTTAGTAGAAATACCGTACTGGAATGATGGGACATAAACTCACCTTCCCGATTCATTGTAATGTGCACATGGGGTTCCGCAGGATTCTAGTTTAGGTCCTTTTCTCTCCCCACTATACGTAAACGATGTATCCTTGACGATTCAATGCGGAAGAACAGTTCTTTGCGGATGCAGATTTTTTGCAACAAAGAAACAGTAAATAGTACAATATCGGCTCTTTCAAATTGGATTCGTAATAACAAATTAATAATTAGCGAGGCAAAAAGTTTCAAAGCAGTTCTTTCATTTCAAATTTAAAAAAAAAATACTTCACTGAAAACGAAATGTGCAATAGACTGATGGTAATGTATCAACATTTTTGTGTCTCTCAATTTGGTCAAATCTCAAATGGAACATGCATTTAAATAAATTGAACACAAAGTTAATTTCATTATAAAGCTGCGGATTTGTAGGTACTAAGAACTAGAAATAGGCATTTAACAGTGTAAAATAGGCATTTAAAAAGGCACAATATATTTTCTTACCCTTATTTATGTTCTTGTATAGAAAGTTTCTGCTGAAGTGAACATAATATAGTTACCTTCATGCAATGTTCATTGTTCTGACAAATCCTCGTTGAAATCCTTTCTCTCATTGTCTGGTATTTCGAAAGAAAAGGCTGATCTACTTTTTACAGTATCTACCTTTTTGCTTTTCATTAAACGCAAGCTGATGCTCTAATGTTTGCACAAAATGATCTATTTTCTCACATTTAGTTTCAACATAAGTAAAAATATATACGATTTGTTTTTGTTTTAATCGCCATGCATAATACAAAAGTCGTAACTAGTGGAACAACAGCACATTTTCATGCATTATATCTAAACATATATTTCAAAATTGGCAACTTTCAAAAATTCAGAGTTCAACGACAATGAGACCTCCGCCATTTTTTAAGTGTCCCTTGTTCTATGGGGAAAAAATTGCAGCAAACGTTTGAAGTGTTTTTTGAATTTTTTTTATAATCTGCATGCAATTTAAACAGTTCTCGTTTAGAAAAATATACATCGCTTTTTTTTAAATTTGATATTTTAGAACATATTTCATTTAAGGCAAAATTCTCTGTATTCAATTTGCAATGTTAACTTTTTGCAATTTTCGAAAATATTGTGTTCATGGAAAATGAAACTGGCGCCAATTTTTATATAAAAGAGAACTTTATATAGAATTTTTATATAGCAAGAGAACGTTTCAGAAAAAAATTCAACCTGTTTTTTTAGTTAAAAAATGTTTAAATATTCGAAGTAAAAAGTAACCACCAGTGCTTTTGTTTTTCATAATGCAAAATACCCGCACTGATGTGGCGTTGAATCGGAACATAGATTTGGTGATAGTTGTTTGATTTCTTTGCAATCTGCGTTATAAAAAGAAAAAAAAACTTTCATTAACAATATTCAGAATATTTGCGTTTTCATCAATAAATACGAGGATGTTCAACATTTTGACATTTAAAGACAAAATAGGCATTTAAACACAAAAAAGGCATTTGTAGGCACTACAATATTCCCATGTAGTACTCCTAATACCTCAAAATGAATAAGTAATATGAAATATTGCGTTTTCCATTAAAGGAAAAAAGAGGCAAATAAGAAAAAAATCCGCATCTTATTCACTACGCTCAGCATTTAGATCTTTCGAATTCAGTCACCCGTCATACAGCTCGTGTATATTTCGCGAATGTCCATTCCCGCCTGAGATATGGCATAATATTTTGTGGAAACACATCCTATACCTTCCAGACATTTAGGTTACATAAGAGAATTATATGAATAATAAGCAAATACCACTCACAAGATTGTTGTAAGACTCTAATGTATTGATATCTAATGTATTAGTTACCATTTGAACTGTATAATTCTTAACAACATGTAACAAGTATTGTTCCTTAGCTTCTGGGTCAATGACCCCCATGTCGATTTTTCGGTCACGTTCCCTGCTGCTTTCAAGCGAATGCTGAGACGGCCCCTTGTTTTGCTTCTGGACATAAATGTCAATTCACTGTGCGTGAGTGTTTTCTTCATTTCAGTAGGAAATATAGTTATTCGAATTGTTTTCCATGTTCTCGTAGTACGTCGATTCCTTCACGAAGGGCACAACATGTGGTAATAGTTCAAATCTATAGCTGATTTGCCTTTGCAAATCGTTTTTATTACTCTTTTACATGGGAATGAGTATTTGTTTATCAGTTCTTGCCAAAAACGCTAATTTCCATCTGTATGCAGAATTCAACTTGTGTATGGGTTAGGGCAGCGTTTGCCAACTTGCGGAGAAATGACGTCAGAGCTCCGTTCGCCTTCACGGGCGCCTTCTCGGAGAAGTGGTGAGAGCAATGGGGGGAGGGGCAGACGGCGCTCGTCGATGTCGAAAGCCAGTGGGCCTTTGCCGATGTGTCAGGGAACATGAGTGGGAAACCATCTACATCCGTTAATTGTCTTTCGGTTTGGTAGATACCGTAACAATGGCGGAGTATTTAGTGTATTCGAAGGGCAGTATGTTACAACGTTTAACCGACAGAGGCATTACGCAGCTTTGCAACTCCGAGAAACCCGCGAGATGAAAATAATTTTTGACAATTTACAGATTGCCTGCAATCATGAAATGAGAAAAGGATTTTGCCGATAGAAGATTGTGGAAAGGGAATTGAAAATCACTAGGATTTACAATATTAAACAAATCAGTTCTGTATAATTAATCAAGCCTGGTGTCCAAATTCTCCCACATGACCCCTTCCGGGTATCTGTTTGTTATCATTAACTACATAGGCACACACAGTAAAAATGTTTTCATACCCAGCGACTTCATACATGCTTCTCTATGTATGTCGACGCGCTGAATCCGATTCTGAAGCTAGAATTGCGCCACCACCCTCCAGTTCTTTTTAAATCGCGAAAAACCATCGTGACATTGTATATTTTGTTTTTTGTTTTAGGAGGTTATTGCCAGAACCAAAGACTTGACACATTATTCCGTATGTATGTAGACGCGCTTAATCCGATTCTGATGCCAGAATTTCGCCACCACCCTTCGGTATTTTATTTGCGAAAAAACCGTAAAATTGTAAATTTCATGCCTTTGCTCTGCGGCTCGGCTCCAACCTGGAGAGCAGATTTTTGTGACGTCACAGGCATTGAGTTGGCAAGCCCTGGGTTAGGGTAAGGAACCCTGAATTTGAGAAAACGCACATAATACCACACTTCTCTCCATAGTATCTCACACTGTTTTTGAAGGTAAATAAATAGATAAATATGTGAGAGTACTAAAAAACTCTTGATCCTATCTCACATCTTCTCGCGTAATCTAATCCTTCCTTTTCTTCATTCAAAATTGTGCAAGACTGGGGAAATCATAAGCAAGTCCACTAAGAGGGGTTGGAGGGACTGTTGCGACCCTTTGAAAATTTTGAAGTTCTTAATTGTTTCATTTCTTTTATTATTTCACCCTTGTATTTTATTTTCTAGAAAAATATGTCATATGTAAATAAAAAAAGTTCAAAGGAAAAGGGGACCTAGTAATGTAGTTGCTCCCGAACATGTTTTAGAATGCGCAAGCCTGTGGTGAAAATGTTGAATTCGCTTCTGTACAGATAAGAATCTTGATGCGAATTAAATGTACATCATAACCAAATTTGTGCTGTCTTGGATGGATTATGTCCTTGGATAAATTTTGTAATTTTCCATTCTGGCGAAGGGGATCAAGGAATCTGACAAAAATCTGTGTTTCAGGACATTGGAATTTCCTACAACAGAATCTGACCGGATGGAGATTATTAAAACCCCATCGGACAGGACAGAAACGGATACCATTGCTTCAGCTGAAACTGATGCCACCACAACAGTATATATAGACAGTTCAGATGATTCAGGAGTGTGCCAGGTGAGTTAACTTCGGAGGAGCAATCACTCTGATCAGTGTTTTTCACAATGGTTTTGTGGTTGCATGAAACAATATTGAGTATTATATTATGGTGTATATTTAAATAAAGTATCTTAATTTAACAATAATCTGGACTAGCTCAGGCGACTTCAGGGCATCAGCTGCTGTCACTGCGGTGCCTCTGACCGGGAGGCCCTAGGGTTCCAGGACTAACAGTGGCGTGTGTTCGACACTAGTTACATAGCTAGGCCGAATGCACCCGCTGTCTGGAAAATTCTAGCGGCGGCAGCTCTGATCGGTAGCTCTCCGTAGTTTCTGCGATCATACTTTAACGGGCCACGGACCGTGCACGATATTTTCTTCCTCGTCGTCTCCTCTCTTTTACACACTTACAGGCATGACTCTACCACACATGTTGGGAAACCAGGCGGGAACTTATTGCTTGTCTCGACTGCGGTGCTCACCGGTGTAGATATCTGGAGGGGGGAAACCCCCGCAAGCCGTCAAGTAGGTCGGCGTCCTAGGCGGGGAGGAACATCACTGCCTCCCGCAATTTCACATCCACTAAACTTGTACTAATGACCGTAGCAGTTGGTGCGCCCAGAGTGGTTTTCGATTTTTTTTAAATTCCGTCGCATCCTGAATTTCATCGAACGTCACGACAAAAGAACTGCATTTCTCCGAGTCTTGGATTGTTGCTGATAGACTTTCGATATTAGTGCATCCCCAAAACGACGGTCTACAACAGCAATGTCCAACTTCCAAGGTCTCAAGGGCTACAGGTAAAACCTTTATATATTAAAGGTTTTACTTGTGGACATTGCAGACAGCTCACGATCTTTCCTTCCTCTTCCTTGTCCTATCCACCCAATACACACATGCACTTACACTAACATGCACTACAGTACCACACAAGCTGGGAAACAGGTCGGAAGCTTACAGCTTGTCCCGCCTGGGGCGGTACCCTCCTCGTGGGAGATACCTAGTTGTGCCGGCAACCCGCGCTGCCACTTATTGTGGCCCGCGAAAGGTTAGTAATCAAATCTGAAAATCCCTTGCATCCATGTCGGGCGACTAGATTGCGTGTCTAGCCCACGCGCCTTGTCGGGTCAACACCCCTTAATGTAAAAGTAGGTTTAGTTTAGTTTTAAGATTTTTTTGTAAATTTACAAATTCAAAATCATCTAATTTGTTACCCTGCCTTAAGCAGGGTATCATGTATGGTTCCATCTTCCGCCCCAGAGCAGTTGGGCAAACTGCCGAGATCAGCTATATGGGGAAGTCAGGTGTGGATCGCCCGAGTAATGTACATATGGCGTGCAATCAATTGAAGGTTTTTGTTGTGGCCATTGACGTCTTACAAGTTGGACAACCCTGGTCTAATCACTACGCAGAGAGCGGCACACAGTAGCCATGACCAGAATGTGCCTCAGGCCTGTTGTTATTCTCACATTTCCTTCTATTCATAAATGTATTTTTTCGCCCTTCATATTCGAAAAAAATACTTATTTTCGGCGAAACTCAGTAATAGGGGAAACAGTTTCACCCTTGAACACTTACTGCAGGCCATGATGATGACGGCCTTGTGATTGCCGTCAATGTTCGTTTAACTACAGCCGGTGCTCTAATATACTCGCTACTGCTTACACAGTTTTGTAATGCGGGAAAAACTGGCGAGGTTTCGACAGAAAAACTCTTGTATGCCGGACCTGTAAAAGCAAATGGATGAATGTCGCCATATATATAGCATATATATAGTATATATATATATAGTATATACTATATATATATATATATATAACTTCCTCTAACTCGTGTAGTCAGAATCCTTGTTTTGTGGGTCCTTGATACCAAAAAATTGATTAACGGCAAAATGGCTGTCCCACCATCTGTGGTCAACGCTAGCGACTAAACCGTTTAACTAATTTTCTCCAAAATTGATATTCCCCAATTGATCGGGCTCCTTGTCGCGGCCCCTTGAATTTGAAACTGATATTTTTTTTAGGAGTGTACTTTACATGAAAACTCTGGGACATTTTGAACACAATGGGTCCAAATTTTTAATTAAATTTTGTTGCCGAATAGCGCAAAGGACGCTTAACAGAATAGTGGAATACCGAAATAACTTAACGAAAACTTAAGCTTAACGAAAATTGCAAGTTCATTTTTTTGGCGTCTTTCTACAACTAAAATTTTGAAGATAGAGGTTTTTCTGAAGACACACTTTGAAATAAGGTCATGGACTAATTTTGGAAAATTTTAGTAGTTTTCGCGTTATTTCGCGTGAAATATAGACAATTTATTTCTTGAAACAATTTTTTTCTTTAAATTTTGTTCTCCTATGTATAAAAGGACTGTAAAAGTATGGTGCTAGTTCCACTTTTGGCAAACTCTCCGTATTTTTGAAACTGGCACAAAGTTAATATTTCAAAACTACAAAATTGAAGACATATGTTTGACTTAAACAAAATATTTTCTAAAAGAATGCTTTTTAAAAAAGGTTATGTATAATTTATTTTGTTTTTGAACCATTTGTGCTTTAAATTCATGCAATTTGTAAAACTAATTCTCAAAATCGTCTCCAATTTTTTTTCCGTTTTCCCCCTCAGAACAAAAAAAGCTTAAAAGAATGGCGCAAGTCTCATTTTGCTATAAACAGAATCTGCTCTAAAAATCAGCTCATTTAAAAAGATCATGCTCAATTGTTGGGGGGAAAAAATGAAAAGTTTTCGCAAAATTTCTGCTTGAAATTAATGAAATATATACAGGTATGGATCCTCGGGGAACAGGAATGGATCAAAAGGATATGAAAAATAATTAATTTAATTTGAATTATAATTTTCTACTGAAAATCCAATATTAATTCAATTTTTACTCTATTCTACAATTTGCATTTTCAATGCATTCATATATTTTCTTTCAAAACTACCCACAAACTTTAAATGAAATTAGTCCAAATAGGGTTTCTCTTTTAAAAAATATTATTTAAATGTAATACGACAGAAGAATTGATAAAATTTCGATATTACCTCTGTACGCTGCATTGCCACACAATGAAGCGATAGATACTTGGTCTTTCCTAGAAGTTCATTGCTTGATGGCAACAAATGAGAGAGAGAGAGAGAGAGAGAGAGAGAGAGAGAGAGAGAGAGAGAGCGAGAGAGCGAGAGAGCGAGAGAGCGAGAGAGCGAGAGAGCGAGAGAGCGAGAGAGCGCGAGAGCGCGAGAGCGCGAGAGCGCGAGAGCGGGGGAGAGGGAGGGGGAGAGGGGAATTACAAAGTACATTTGGTAAATAATTATTTTAAAAGAGGAAATTACTTCACAATATAACCCAATTTCAAACGTCCAGACCCTGTACTGTGCGTTGCAGCTTAATAGGTGTGAGATTAACCATTCTAATATTTCTAAGCATTGAGATAAAATTGCACAAAAAGGCAAATAAACCTTTAATTTTGTTGTGTTTTTGTATTTTTTTTCAATTTAATATTACATTTATTTTGGGTTTCTGCCCTTTTTTGATCATCCATACTATAGAGTGGAAGCATCCCAGAGAACTAAATCTCCAAAAATCAAATAGTTAAAAAAAGATCTCATTTTGTGGAATGCAGCTTAATATAATATAATTTGGGCACAACTTGTCTCAGTCTGTCCCCCACCTATTTCCATTTATTTCCTTCTTTTGTCCACATGTCCCCCAAAACTCGTGATGCAACAGGACACATCTGTTCCCACAAATGTGTCTCTTCAGAACACAAACACGTATTTTTAAGGGTGTTGAACGCAACGTTTCCGCATCAGACCGATTACAATGTGTGTTACAATAATATGTTTTTATGTCACAATCTGCAAACTTTTATTTTTTCATTTTCAATCTGTTGATGCCGGTCAGAGAAGTAATTCCTTATTCTCATTTACATTTTTTGTTTGTCGATGCTTTCTTTTAAATTACCAACAACCGTCATGTTAGCGTATTGTATGCAGAGAGAGGATATTAGTTTTCACATAATTTTGGGTAACGTTGTGACAATAAAATAATCCTACCTTAACAAATTGTTTCTCAAAACTGATTCTAATTTTTTCTTTACATTTTCTGCTCGAATAGAGCAAAGTTACTTTAATAATTTGGCTCAAATGCGAAACCTGCGAAAATTGCAAAAGTTCAACTTTTTAATGCTACGTCGATGGACTAGTGATTCCTTGCGAATGAACTGCTAAGGTCATCATTTCCGTAAGTGTAGCACATGCTCTTATCGCGGGTGGTGGTGAAGTTCCTCCGCTGGACGGCGAGATCAGGGGCCGATCTGTACATCGGCTAGCCATGTGTCTCCGACTAGGTATCTGCCATCAAGGGAACCGCCTCAGCCGGGACAAGCTCTAAGTTCCCGACATGGGTGGTAGAGTAGTGCATGTAAATGTAGGTGTGTGTAAGTAGGGGGTGAGTGTTTTTGGTGAATGCTTATTATTATTCTTAAGTCACTTTATTATTTTTACAGATATATCGAGGAATGATATGTAACCATTACATAGGCAATAAATCAGTTTTTATACCTGCTTCACAAACTCAGAAAATGCTGGAAGATAAGTTGACAAACGCGTTTACTGTTATTGCCCATTCTCAGTAAGTATTTTTATTGAAAGACTTTTTTTTTACAATTCTTTGGCAGCGTTTGTTTGCACTAATTAATTTTTGTATTACTTTTTAAAATGTAACATTTGGCACTGATTTTTAAATTAAAAAGTATGATTTGTATTGATTGATTGATTAATTACCATTGTTCTTTAATGAGAATTATTTTGTGACTGATCATTCGCCTTCTCTTGAAACTGCTGTTCTTCGGAGGCGTAAATACGAATGCGTAGTACAAAGTAAGTGCATTTGCTTACCCCATAGCAGTGCAGATGGATTTCCCGTCTCCTCTTTGAATACAGTCATGTTATCTCTGTTTTCCAGGTGTCTTTTCACGTTCTTGTAAAATTCCACCTAACACTTGTCCTGATTATGAAAACAGTATAAAGATTTTTTTGTCGTGCATCTTCTTCGCCTCTAATAGCCCTTTTGTCTCTCAATTTGTTCTTGTATTTCTCATATTGTATGTTTTTCTCTCTTTTCTTTTCAGGCGTCTAATATGTTTGTTATATTTGGCATCCGGACTATTTTTTAATATTTTGTGCAGAACCAAAACGCTCGAAACTAGCACAATGGACTTAGAAGTTATTCCATATTTCTTCCAAAAAAAAGGGCCAGTTCCCGCCCAATGAGTGTATTTTTCACGCAAAAAGTCCTGTAAATTGGGGACATTAGTTTCACAGAAAATGGATTATCTTTTTAGCTACAAATTATTCAAATTAAGGCCAATTTCAACAAAACACCACTGTGGTCGCTTATGCCCGAAACATCTCCGCAGGAAACAACTGATACTTCTGGGTGAACAAGGAAAATGTAACGAATTTCTTCCATTCACGTTGGGTCCTCCGCCTGCTTATATCCGCAATCCCAAACAAGCCTATTAACTTGTGCAATGCTTATCCCTTCCGTGTTGCCAGGTTTGCCTGTGGCCAAATTAAGATCGGCGCCAAAAGTGCTTCGCTTCGTAGAATTGTTTGCGGTGGTTAGAGCGAGATTCATGTTATGTTCAACATGCCTTTTTATTGTATTAAACGAAAGACGAGAGGTTCCTTTCTGTTCTGGCCGAATTTTAACCGATTTTACCGTCTAGTTTTGGCGTAATAATACCGTAAAGACACACGCTCTTATGGAGACCTGATAGATCTGACCTGGAATTTTAAAATTGTGAGAAACCGTTGAAATGTTTTTAAAAATTCCTCTTTAGGTAGCTAGCATCTCGAAGAATCAAAATGCGCAATTTGAAGGACATCTGCCGTTTCAAATGGGAGAATTTTTCAGAATAATGAGTCAAAATCGGTCCAACGGGAGACGTTCGCACGCTTTCTAGAGGGTCGGGTCTGTGCAGTACAACTAGGCAACACCGTGCACGCAGCGCGCTGCATTCAAATCGAGTGACAAGTCCTCGGCAAGTGTTCTAACATTCCTGTGGGTCTTCTGGCGGCAATTAAAGGGTCCCCACTCCTGGAAAACTTTTGATATTAACCAGATATTCAGCAAGGTTGAAATTAGGTGTATATAATGAATTGTGCAATCTGAATGAAAAACTCACTTCAATTAATATTTCAAATAAATCTCTTGATTCTACTCCGAGAAAATAGATGATCTTGGGAGTTTATAATATTTTTATACATTCAGTACAGCTTTATTATTTCGTATTGTGAAGTATGTCAGCTTTTTTGAATTTTGCTTTTAACAATGTTTATTTATTGGATTACTCGAAAATGATTCATATTCATTATCATCATACTGACTCGTCATATACGATTGTAATCGTATGTGTGACTCAGTAAATATTATTATTATTATTATTATTATTATTATTATTATTATTATTATGCGAGATAATACAGTCATTTAATTCTATACCACATTTGCAAGATACCTTACACAGGACTCAAAGCAGCAATCTTCACCGTAGATTCAGCCCCTCAATCTGCAGAGTTTCTGGGTGGGCATTCAATTCACAAAGGTATTAGAAATGGAGGATTTAGAAGCATCGAATGTGTTGCAAATGAAAAATGTATTTTGCTGGTGTTAATATCAACCATTCAAGGTATAGGTAAAAGCAGAGCTGGATTTCCCTCCTAGCAAAATATAAAGGCTTGGGACACCTGCTTGGATTTTTTAAAAATAAATGTTCTTAAAACTTCATAACATGTTTTATTAGAATAATAGTAATAATGATCATCATTCATTAAATAGTTTACTGAACTACAGTGTTTGATTTTAAAAATAAATTGCATTGAACAATAAGAAACTTAACATGTATTTGTAAATAAGAAATTTAGAAAGCAATTTGCACTTTGTAAGCAATTTGTTAATTTACATCTATTTGAATAAGGATTTATTCTGTGATAATATGTATTTTTTATTTAATCAAAGATTTTTCTGAAAAATGCAGTTTTGTGCATATAGACCTACAGCACGTATCTGAATCCATCCATGGGCAAATGTAATTGAAATTGTAAGAAGAGTGATAAAAAATGTTAAAAAATATTTGAAAACTTTTTATTATGTCACTGTTTTCGTGATATTGGGGGAATTATTTTGTCTTATCTCAAATTCCGCTTTGGATACAATCTTCCGCCAATTCGCTAAATAGTGATATTTACCCCGTGTCGATCAGACAGCGAACTATTTAAAGAGATTCATGAAACAAAACAGAAGAAAAATGAGCTCTGAGCAGACATGTCAATTTCAAGGACATTATGGCATTGTCCAATTTACCAAAGACTTTTCGCCCTACTCCAACGTGGAAGTGTTTGCCATTATTAGCGATCACTATACAAAAATATACAGACATATGTCTATAATGTTACTCTCTATGATTTGGATCTTACTAATTGTGTAATAGTGCTTTTTATGTTCAATATTGTACTTCAATTTTTCATTGGCCACCCGATCTGTTGGTACCACTTTACAAACTAGTCAACGGTAGGTCTTTACATGGTATTAAAATATTTTTATTTTCGATATATGAAACAAAATTAATTCGAATAATGAAATGAAACTGCATAAGAGTCCCTAGTTTGTTTATATAGGTCTCACAATACTCATTTATCTCGCAAATAAATATTTGTGAATGTAATATGGACTCTATCTACTTGGGAATATCTCGCTTTACCGCCTTAAGAAACCAGTCCTGTCTGCTAGCCTTTCTATCGCGTGAATATCCTCGTTTGGAGCTCGGTGCATGCCTACAATTTCACAATGATAATTTGATTCTCTGCCTCTCACATCAACGACAAGTATTTCATAATCGTCGTCTGTCCATGATTCTACACAAGACAAATTATTCCTGGCGCAAATAAACATGGCCCCACCGCGACTCCTTCTATCCCTAATCCGAACGAAAGATTTCACAGTTCTGAATATCGTTAGTAAGCCATGGTTCCGTCCCGAGTATTTCGTCCGGATGGTAAATATCAACCGATGTCATCTCCGTCGTCACCCTCACCATCCCCGGCGCTGCCATCTCTGCCGACTCCACCGACAGTTGTTATTTGATGTCTTTGTATTTTTGATGCAATGTTTTTGTATTTTTCCTCGTTCCTAATGAAAACAGAAGACTCTCACCATGGGCGGAAGATGCATAATTTTCTTTCATTATCTCAGCACTTTGGAAAGTACCATTAACACAAGCGCACACACACACAAACTTTTTAGACCCAAAGACTTGAAACATGTTTCTCTGTGTATTTCAACGCGCTAAATCCTAATCTGAAGCCAGAATTCCACCACCTAGTTTTGTTTTAATCGGGAAAAACGATCGTGATTTATATGTTCTCGGTTCCAAAGACATGACTCATATTTCATTATGTATGTCGACGCGCTGAATTCGAAACTGAAGCTAGAGTTTGCGCCACCATCGTCCAGTTTTTTTAATCGTATAAAACCACCCTCAAACTTACACTCTACAAATTTCTCGCTGTTTTTCTGAATTAGCGCGTCGACATACGTAGAGAAACGTGTATCAAATCTGTGGGTCTGACTGCAATCCCTCGAAATAAAAAAATACAATTTATGGGTGTTTTTTCGCAAAACAAAATGGAGAGCAATGGCGCAATTCTGTCTTCAGATTCGGATTCAGCACGTCGAAATACATAGAGAAACGGTGCACGTCCTGACAGGGGGGGATGCAGAGAAGGCTGTCATTTCGTCATCTTTCATCCTCTTGCGTTTCACTTCACTTTCAATCTTTTACCACCTTTTTCTTTCTCGCTGGCCTCTCTATGCTCAACGCTCACTCGTTTTTGCCGTGCATGACGACCCGTGGCGAAGGGAATGAGTGACCTGGGCGTTAAGGGGTCTGTGCATAGTCACTCGTATGCTGCCTTGACGCTGGAACTATGGTGTAGATCTCTTCTAACTCGATCGTGTTGCGAACCCCAGCGAGTTCTGGTGACTGCTTCTGGTGATTGCATGGACCCCAGTGGCGAGTGCCCTTGTCAGGTTCCATTGTAGGCGGGGAACAAGGGGACGAATCACGGTCCTTCATATGGAACCAAAACTATCTCTGCCGCCTCTTTTCCCCCAGGCAATGTCCAGGAAGAACTGTCAACCTGAACATTTGTTTGAAGATGACAAACCGAAGTTTCCTTCTAATGGCAGATACAGAGGAAGGGAAAACTTTCAAAAAGCGCTGAGTGCTGTCCGTCTAGTGTGAACCATACGGAAATCTTTCGGGATGTTCCAAGCGGCGGGCCGACAAAGGAATGACACGATTGTATTTGAAGCTCACGCCCGTGAACAAATCGACCATGTATAGAAAACCAATCATATTGCCGGCCACCAGGGGTAGTGTCCACTCATCCAACCGTCAATCTCTGCAAGGGAGTGGTGAACCACAAGGACTTCGCTTCGGAGAGTGACGATCTTTCTTTCTTAAGAGTCAGGGCGTCACCGAGGTGTATATAATCAAAAGGCAGTATCAGAGGAATGTGATTCCTACTTCGACCCTGATCCATACGTTTGGTCGTCTGTCCCTCCCG